CTAATAGAACCAAATTACTTGAAATCTCCTTCATATTCTATATATGGATTAAGTATGTTTAGAAAATCATGTAGCCATGATCTCTTCTTATAAGCCAAGAAGTATTTTGAGGAATTGGCCAAGTGTTGGAAATGATCTTTTCTATTAGGTAGAACTCTTCTGTAATAAATATCATGCACCCCTRATATGTCTGCAGTTATGTTGTTGAAAAGAACACCAAGAACAATGTAGTGTTTGTCTCAAGAAATTACTACTCAATCGACAAGAGGAGGCGGATTTTTTTGTGTTGGCTCGTTAAGATGGCTTAGTGGGAAACCTTCAGGCAATGTCAGCAAGCTCCGTTGCAAGGTAAGGAATATGGATCAACTTCTTTCTACGGACAATGGTTACTTGAGAGCGGATTTTATAGGGTCCGGCATTGAAATGGAATCAGAAGGAGATGTTGCAGTTGTACACCTAGGCGAAGACGATCAAGGTCTAGCTTCAGGAGAGTTTGCAGCATTCTACGAAGGAACCACTTGCATCGGGTCAGGTGTAATCCTGGAGGGTTTCCCGGTCTGCTCAAAGCTCCTCCGCCGGTTTAATCCCAATTTGTGTTGTTGTTGATGCAGATCAATTTATTTGCTGATGAATAAACTCTAGAGTTCATTGGTAAAGATATAAAAGGATAGTGCGATTCTTTGAAGTTTCAAGTGTAAAAACAAATAAATGGAAAGTAATAATTTTTTTTGACCGATAAAAAGGAGAATTTGACATGAATAACCAAACAAAAATTATAATTGGCAATCTAACCAAAAGTCCCCTATGTGGCAAAATCATAGCTTCTTTTCTGGTTTCGGTTTTGTAGTAGCATGTGGCTACGGTTGTTGTATTTTCGTTTTGTTGTAACGATTATACGTTTTGATGAGTATAAGATGTGGTATTCTTATTTCTTGTGTTATAAGATGTGAGTTCTTATAGTGTATGACTGGTGGGTCATGTGTGTATATGGTGTCTAAAATGGAAGTTCTATGGGAGTTAGAGGTTTTATGTGAGTTAAAACCCGTCTATTTCCTAGGGAGAGTCTGGAAAAGACGGTTTTATGTGTGATTAGAGCTTGTCATTTTCCAGGGACTCTGGGCTGGAAATGGAAGTTCTATTCGGCTTAAAGCTGGTTTATGTTCTAGAAGTGTCTAGAAATGAGCTTGTTCATGTTCTAGGAGTGGCTAGAAATGAAATTCGTGTTCTAGGAGTGGCTAGAAACGAAAGCTTTATGCGAGTTAGAATTTGTCTATTCCTAGGGAGAGTCGGGAAAAGAGGTTCTATGTGAGTTAGAATTATCTTTTCCGAGGACTCTGTTAGTTCTTATATGTTATGACTTGTGGAGTCATGGGTTGTGATGACTGGTAGTCATGTGATGGCTAGGAATGGAAGTTCTTTTCGACTTAAAGCTAGTTTATGTTCTAGGAGTGGCTATAAATGAGCTTGTTCATGTTCTAGGAGTGGCTAGAAATGAAATTCGTGTTCTAGGAGTGGCTAGAAACGGAAGCTTTATGCGAGTCTTATTAAAGCTTATTCATGTTCTAGGAGTGGCTAGAAATGAAATTCGTGTTCTAGGAGTGGCTAGAAACGAAAGCTTTATGACAGTTAGAATCTGTCTATTCCTAGGTAGAGTCGGGAAAAGAGGTTTTATGTGAGTTAGAATCGTCTTTTCCAGGGACTCTGTGGAAACACCCATGGTGGTTGGGTTGTTTCGGGTGACCTAGTGGGGGTTACGGATGTGATGATATTCCGGGTAGGGGATGTCATGAGGTAGCCACAGAGGCGATTCCGGTCGACAGGTACTTATGATGCATGTTTCAGAGTTTTGCTCCAGGAAACGGGTGTGTTTCCTGCATACTGAGAGATAGTGGTTCTCTTAGGGGCCGAGTGGGGTCTTTACATATACTTTGATGGACGATGGTTCTCTCTAGGGGACGAGTGGGTCCATGCACACGTAACTCAAGGGGTGACGATCCTACGAG